GTGACTTGCGAGAAAAGAAAATCTAAAATAAAATCTTTCCATGTGGCAACACTAACACACTTATAAGACCGAACGTTGAAATGATGTTTTCTATGTAAGTGTTTTCACGACAACTAGTCAAGGCAATACATGTTCAGTTAGATCATGTCAATTTTAGTTGAATAAAAACACCGGCAAGGATAAACTTATTCGTTGTCTACAGAATTGTGTTGTACAGTTGGTGCGACGTGGCTGGATCAGAATTTGGCGGTCGATAAATTTTTCTGGCAATAAATTTTGCATTGTTGGTAAGCGTCACCATGCACCAGACGAATTATACGTCATCATGTCTGATATAAAGTTTAGATGACCGTAAAGAAGTGTGAACTAACTAAAACACCCCTCCACTAGTTCTTGCCCTACCATATGGGTAAACGTTTAAGTGGCCAGCAAACGCGTCACTATCACTGATTGACGGTATCAGCTACGATTTTGTTCTAAACACTATATCCGCCTTCGTCATATAAATTCAGCCTGCGATTTTTTCATTCACAATACTTCTGCAGTGTACAACAACAGCTGCTAAGTATCATGAAGGTGAGACAGTCCTACAAGAAGGGAACCACCTCTTTCAAGTAGGAACTGCCTTTTCTTTGATTTTATCCCGCATAAATACCAAACCGTCAACAAAAGGCTTGTCAAAACTTAGCCTGATTTCTGATGTGTTCTGCTAGTTTGATTTTAGCATATTTTCACAGTCGTTTTTAGATATATCGTGCTTTTGGTGCATAGTCCTGATCTATTCTGCAATAAGACCGTTGGACTTTTTCAGCGTTTTTTAGAAACATTCGTTTTTTCTTAGTCGGAGGTGAAATTCGCAACAATCAGCCGGCTGTATTTATTACTGAATCAACCAATGCAATGTGCTCTTTGAACTGACCTCAGCTGGATTGCAAGACAAGGTATAGAGATATTCTTAATCAGCTCTCAGACTGAGCCGCCATTTCTTCCTTATCGTGTTTAACCGCATGAAAGACCGGGGTGGCCCTTTAGCTTGTATTTTACAAGTCGGTATTTTTCGTTTGCGATTCCTAAACTTCAATTTTGAGCTCTTCGACCTCAGTTATTTGCCGCTCTTCTGTCTCGTTAAGAGTATCAATCAGACCTTCAGATTTACCCAACTAATCGTTTATTCCAGACAGCATTGCTTCATGTGTTGTGTTTTCGATGAAGCCATGTTGTAGGCCCGTGTGCTGAGATTTCGGTGCACGTCAAAGAACTCCCAGGTGGTTGCAATTTCCGGAGCTCTCCACTACGGCGTCTATCATTATCATATGGTGGTTTTCGAACGTTAAATCCCACATATCTATTTATCTAGTTTCATGTTTTCTCAGTTGTTTTCTGGATAGCGTCTAGCTTTTTCATCATGCTGTTTCAAGCTGCCTGCAAACTCTTGAGTAATTCTAGTTGAGTTTCATTCCAGGGGCCAAAATTCATCTCAACACCACCAGAAATGAGCAATAGTAGCATCAAATACAGTAACCGTTTAGCGAATCAACGAAGGTTCTGATGACGAGCTTGTTCTTTCCCGAGTTCGATATAACTACAATCAGATCATGTTGTTGTGGGAAGAGCTGGAAACGCATAAAATATTCTACGTAATTGAAAAGGGTAGTGTTCACTAACCTGTAATACTAACATAGAAAGTAGCTGTATGTCGGCCAGCGGGACGGCTCCAATTCATACGAAGACAGGTAGACGTGCGTTTTAGTAAGGTTGCACATGGTCACGTGGTCCTTCATACTCAAAAGCCTTTGTCGTATCAGTTTAGACACTGATGCTATCACTGGCGTTGAAGATGGCTGGCGGTTAGTAGAGGCATTGATTGATTGATTGATTTGTGGGGTTTAACGTCCCAAAACCGCTATATGATTATGAGAGACGCCGTAGAGGAGGGCTCCGGAAATTTAGACCACCTGGTGTTCTTTAACGTGCACCCAAATCTGAGTACACGGGCCTACCACATTTCCGCCTTTATTGGAAATGCAGCCGCCAGTGCCGGGATTTGATCCCGCGACCTGCGGGTCAGCAGCCAAGTACCTTAGACACTATACCACCGTGGCGGGGCGTTTATCGAGGCAGTCCCCTTCAGCCAAATGACACGATAATGTCTTCGCAAATGCCTTTGAAAAAGAAGGAATCACAGCCTGATTCATCGATCGCTTCGAGTTCCAACGATACTCGTCAGAGGCAAGATCCTGTAATACCAACATATCAATAGGCTGCATGTTGGCCAGCGTGTTGGATCTAGGGCCTGTACACGTGCTATTCGCACAGCCGCTAGGCACGAGCTGGGGCACCTGCGGCTCCCAAACGGAGCGTGAAAGAGCGTCGCCTTTTCGCTCATTTGCTCTTCGTTTGGGTGCGGCAGGTGACCCGGCACGTACGTTATGGCTGTGTGGGTAGCGCGTGAGCAGGCATTTAGGAATAGGCATATCCGCTTGAAGTGGGAGTTTCCTGGTAGCATTCAATAAAGGCCCGTGTATTTTCAATGGTCACCGCAAATTAAAAGCATGCGAAGGAGACTCCACTTTCGTTCTCAGTGGTTTATTCACCACTGTTCTCGAGGAGTAGTGTCATCTGAATTGTATAGCAGAGGGCTGTGGAGTAAACTGACAGACAAATCGAACATTTCCGGGCCGTTGACATGGCAGCGCGTAAAGTGTCACTGAAGGCAACACTAACCGGAATGCTGCAATTTGTAAGGGTTAAATCTCTGCTTCGTGAAGATAAGAGCAGTTTTGGTGAAAAAGTTCACTCGATAAGTGTCGCTCATGTACCTCTCCTTCATCCACAATACTCAACCCACTGGGGCTACAAACGAGGATCTCGAAGCGGTTATTTGGTACATATTTGAGCAGTTGAGTGTGTGCTTGCCCTCACGTTTTCTGAACAGTTTATTTTTCTATGTCTTCATGCGTTGCGTGTGCATGTAAAAAGTGAAGCATTCTACATTTTTTCAGCAGGCGCGCTGCTTTCAGAAACCTACATTAAACAGTTCACTCAGATAAATTGCCGGGTAACTTTGTATACCAAGCTGGCAGGGTGTGTCGTTGGGGATACAGGACCAAGTTTTTGAGCTCTAACTTCAGCAGCTAAAATAAAACAGCCTTCGAAAAGTGGGTGAATCGAAGCTTTTCTCTTGTGGGCCCCACACTGGAATGCCTATTTGCGATGAAAATTTGTCCGGAAAAGTCGGGTAAGCTAAGACCACCTGTTGCCAAGCAACAATTTGTAACGAGCGTAGGATGCAATCTTGTGTAATGTATGACTTTTCCAACCGCTTGTTGGCTCTTCTGACAAAAAATTATGCTACTCCAGCGGCTGATCGCGCATTGTAAAGCAAGTTCTGGTTAGTGACAAAACGTACAGGGACTCTGTAACCATAGTTTGGACACATTCACCTTTTTCAATGATTGCTAGTCAGTAAAATGAACATCTTTCTTTGATCAAACATTAAGGCAGCTTTTGCGCTTAAAAAATTATTATACACTGCGTGTTATTCTTCAGACAAGCAAGTGTCTTCATTTTAAAAACGTAATGCTGCTGTTAAAAATTAACATAGATTCATTTAACAAGATACATTGGCGCACAAAACAGTACCCGATATCTCGAAGATTAACTATGTTGGCCCCACCAATAGCGCAGAACCATTAGTAGTTGGAATTCTTTCCTCGATGATAGCCTGTTTTTTGTTTTTGTTTAAGGCACTTAACTCTAACTGAAATGAATAGAACAATAAGGAAGACCAAAAACGTAAGCATTTTTTCTGCTGAAACTTTTTTGTATGTTGTTAATTTGCATGTAATCTGAGTGGGTAGACGTTATCTAAAACATTCCGCATTTTTTTATACTGAGTACACACATGTGAGCTCAAAATAATTTTTCCACATGCCTGCACGACGCAAGGAATATGATATGCGGTTAAATAAATTGTACAGTTCCATGCTTGAAGGTCATAATACGATTGCGAGGCTCATTGTGATGTGGGCCTCGTGATGTGACTTTTGACCCCTCGATGTGGTAAAGACCCATGTGATTGTTTAACGTGCACCTATTTCATAGTAGATGAATGTTTTCCGGAATTCCTTCCCATCAAAGTGTATGCGCCGCTCCGTAGAATTCAACTCCCATCCCATAGAGCATACCACGGTCACACTTTAGCTGCAACACAGTTGTGTGTCAAGCGGATTTGTCACATCACTGGGTGAACAGGGTCTAGACAGCACAGTTACGTACACTTATAGTTCGAATGTTGTACTAGGTGTGTTCAAAAAGTACACAGCATTTTTTCCCCACGTGAACCATTGAAGCTCGGGAGCCTTCCTTCGGTGCAGATATAGAGGCGGAAATTCATGCACATACGTTAATTTTTTGTTATTACAGCGTCACTTTCTGGCAGTCAATCTTCGAGTGAGGATATATGGAGAAAACTTGTGATATCACAGTAAGTTGTAAAATGACAAGACAACATCCGCACCGATATTGCATTACATTTGCCAAAGGCTTGATGTCACCCAAGAAAAAAGCGATCGGCAGTACTGAATGGTGTTTTGGTAACGATGCCATGAACACCTTTTTGGTGAATAAGAGTCACAACAGCTTCAAATATAATCACACACTAGTGGAGAGCAAAGTGCCGTCAGGCTAACTCTCAACATGCCGAAGCGTTATTTAACAAGGGTCACCTCACCATCCGAGAATTCGTGAACGAGATAAAAGCAAGCATGGGGCAATCGCATTCAATGTTGGCTAGAATTTTGAGCACGAAGAGAGCGTACTGGAAATTCGTGCTATTACGGCTAAAATGGAACAGAACAAACTCGTTCTATAAAACATTCCCGTGAATGTCAGGGTCGTTACTCCGTGTTCATGGCTCCCCGTTGCTTTCGGCGGTTTTCCAAGCTGCAAATGTTGCCGAAGGTGACAAGATTTAGGTTAAGAGAAGGCATCATGTGGAATGCAGTGTGGTAACCGGGTTTATTATCATCCCTGAGATGCGTTCAAGAAGTGTTTCCAACACTGGCGAGTGTGCTTGGAGAAGTTTGTACCTTACCGAGAAAGCTTTTCACCTCATGCGCCATCCAAAGCACACTGCGAACGGCCCTTTGGTGACGCAGAAAAAATATTCGGCTTTTCGCTGTGTGCTGGGCTCTGTCTTGAATGTCCGCTCTTTCGTTAGAGGCCGCCCACGTCGTACAGAGATCGCCGACTGCTAAGTGTATTTCCTTTCTTGATACTTCAGAAGGCTACCTGCATTGTAGAAGGTTAGGAAACGTTAACAATTAACATATATTTTATGTATACCCACAGCCAGCATGGTCAGGATAGTTCTACTGAGTCAGTATAGTCAAACTCTCTTGGTTGGATGGCGTTAATATATAGGTTACATAAAAGTGCGAACTGCCACCTAGCGAATTTAAAATTGTTGATCTGCTGCATTAGAACCGAAGTGAAACCAGTTTTATGGCTTATTTGCAAAAGTTAGCGTTGTGACAATAAAATCGAGTTGAACGATAATTCACACTTCACTCCTACTATAGTGGTGCGCCTGTGTGTACCTGTGTACACAACGTGTTTGCCGGCAAAACGAAATTGACAAGTTCACCAATAAGCGGGTTACCACGTACAACTGGCGTAGATTATATATGTAAGTTGGATACACATTGAAACTTGTTATACTCATCTGAATAAACTCCAGCAATGTTGTGCGTTAGGGTATTGTTCATACCTTTATGGTTAAAAAGAGATAGTGGTTTGCCACTCGTCCACCACGTTCTCTCTTTCGATCGTGCAGTGCTGCTTAATTGGTTGAGTGGGCCTGTCAGTGGTGATGACAAGACGACGCGCACCATACAGTTCCTGAAGCTCTGATAACGTGATCCGCTATTCGTGTTTCACTTTACAAGGATAGTTCAACTTGGTAAGCATGGAGCAAGAAAAATCGGTGAAGAGGTCCAGGAAGAGGAGACAGAGCTATTTTACAATATTCGCGAGGCATTTTTGGCTGGTTATTGCTATTCTTTCCCACAGTTTACCAACATAGATTATTTTAGGAGGCGTCACTCATAATCATATGCTACTTTAGGGACGTTACACCCCAACGTTTATCATGATTTTTAAGCAAAAAGCCTAGATTTCGCACATAACGCGAAATCTGACCATCCAAGCACCGCAATAGAAGTGCTAACACGAGTGATGCGAAATTCATCGTCTGATGATGGCCCCTTATGACATCGTCATGACATCAGATCGTCAAAGCTTCCGGTGAGTGACGCTGACGCCGGTGTCGAAATCCCGCGGAGAGTGCCCTTATACTTGGTATCGCAATAAAAACCGCCGACGCCGGTGGCGTTGGTGGGTTCATCTTGCTCTGCCAGAAGGGGAAAAACTCGGTGACGTCAACGACAACCTTGGTCACCTCTTCCACAAAATAGGGACGTGAATTAGGCAGAGAACGGGTTAGACTCCCGTTGCTTAGAAAATTCAGTTACGTGCACTTCTGCATGACAAGTGAGTAGGGCTTGGTCGCCATTTTTTTAAATTTCGTTGACTAGCGCTCCTATCGGTCTGCGGTGACTGATTCGGTGACCACCGCAAAAAACGGTCCGAGAGTGATTGGCGTAGAGAGGGCCCTTTTGGCGGATCTCGCCGCCACCGAATCTAATTCGGCTCACTTTCGGCGGCCGGAATGCTCATTGTGAACGTGCCCTTAGAGTGGGCTTAACGATGTCTTGTCGCACCATCTCATAACTGATGACGAAAACGCGCCGAAGATGTGAAGGTCTGAGGACCGCCAAATGGTATGGGCTGTGTATTAATGGCTTGTCATTAGCGCTCTTAACTACATGCGCATCGTGGCATAGCGGTAAGCGCCGCGCAGTATGATTCAATAGGTATAGTTCGAAGCCTCGTGGCAGAGCCTTTGCATGTCGTTTTGAAAGATGATAGTCTTTCTTGGGATAATTCAATGAAAAACTTTTGGTCTGTCTGGCTGTCATTCGACTTCTCTCTGTGTCAAACGAAATTATTCAGCTATTATAGGCTAAAGTTCAACTATTTACTCAAAGTTTCCCGATCTTGATGTGCTTTTTACCTTCATACTTGTGCGTATTGTCAATTAAAAAATATTGCTCATAAATGAGGCACATTATCAACTCGCCAATATTGTGTGGTGGGTTTCTTTATACTCGAAAAGGCTTACATAAGTAAATTTGGGACCGTTGCGTTCATTACGCTGCGCTGACACTGCGGCGCTATATGCCTGAAAAAAAAAGAGTATCGCTTTGCTAAGAAAATACACACGTGGCCTTACATTCAAAAAATTATGGCCTGCGAGATGACGCGTGAACGCCGCGCTGTGGCTATTTGTGGCGAAATCGGGCTACAGTGGGCAACACCATCCCTGCGCAAGTGTTGACAGGCGATCGGCGACGCGCATACGAATACACGCAGCGGCACTTCGTTGCGAGCGGTCTGAGCGGATTGTCTTCGAATAAAATGCGTTGACCACAGTTAACTGGTAATATCTACGCTCCTCTCTTCCGAATCAGCGCACAAAGTCTATGCACCCCACGAGTAAAGCACATTATGCATTTCAAATGAATGCTCACCCTGGGCGACTGTCTTCGCGCTTTCGCAATAAATCGCGCCTTTGTTGTGGTCCTTGTACGTAGTTATCTTGCGTTGCGCCAGCTACGCACTACTGTAGCGTGACTGAAACACTTATTTACTTGTTTTTATCTGCATACAACGAAGAATATAGCGAAAGATTATAGAAAGTCTGCATATCTGTGCGATTAGTTCAGTAGCGTCGTTAACGCCCTATGCATTTACTACAGCGAAAGCTGTTATGAGGTCACAAGTCGGGTTTCGCGCAGCGCCGCAGTTGTCCACCACCGCCGCCACCGCTGGTGTCCGTTAACCAAATCGCGCAAAATTAGAAAAAAAGAACTAGCAATAAGCACACAGTGGGGCTCGAACCCGGGTCCGCTGGGTGCCTGCCCAGTATTGTACAACTAAGCCACGCCGGTTTCTTTCTCCAGTGTTTAATACAGATGTGGCTTGCGTATATACATAGCATACGACATACATAGGGTCGACTCGACAAATTTACATTGAACGTTACAAGTAAATCTCATATAACACAATGTCTAAAGAGGTATTTGAGTAGCTCACTTCATGAACTCAGCATACCAGTCCAGCTAAAATTGCAGTTGGTCATGAAAATTTCTTAGCCGCACAGCCATTTTCGCACAGTGGAATCGCGAAGACACCATTGGTTGCGCACGCTTATCCAACATGTGAGTTTTCCCTGAAATATGCGTGCCCATTCACAAGAGCATGTGAACTGGCACGTTATTGCATTTGAGTGGTACGAGATAACGCATGCTGTGAGAATTCATATCCAGTCATTTTTTAAAGCACTCTGCAGAGCCTACCAAAAAACGATGGCATCCTTACAACTAAAAAACAATGTTTTATTGTTTCTGTAACTCCACAGAGGTGGCAGTTAATTGAGGATACAAACATGCCTTTGTTATTTAACCAAGTTTTTACAGGTATTGTTTCTGTATGCACTTTGTAAACGAATGTCTTGGTTATTAGTAAAATAGGCATTTTTTTACATGTAATAGCACGTCATGACCATAAAATGCAATATAAAGTGAGCGGTAAAGTGCGGCCGAAAATAGCACACCCAATGCAGCATAATAGAGGTCTTATCTTGAGCTAGAAAATGAGTATTGATTGGAGAATCTGGCTTTCAGAAAACGCACTGATTAGTATACTTCACGCATCCACCCTTGCAGATAAAGAGGTGATACAAAATTAGTAGATACCATTAAATTTGGTAAAACATTTTCGAAATTCACTTGTAATAATGTTCAAAGCAGCGAATGCGCACAGTCACGAAAACAGAAAAAGCGCCACACCAGTTGTCTTATAAATTGGCGCACCAACCCAAGACCTCCTGCGCAGAGGTCCAAAAACATTGTTTCGGCTCATCGGTTCATAGGTTGATTAACAAATAAAGGTAGCGGATATGCAGTGAAATTTCTGAGTAGATACCCTCGAACAACTGATTATTTGCAGTAAATAGAGTATTTTTGTTGTTCGAAACAGGTTGCATGCTTTAGCTCTGCCAAAGCTAGAGAGGTTATGAGGAATAAAAGTCTGGGCATAGCGCTTTAGGATGGGCACAAGTTCTTTCCAATATTGCGCACTTGATCGATATGCATGTAATGGATCACCTAGCTATTTCGACGAAACACAAGACCATTCTATACCCCGAAAATGGTTTGGTTTATATGTCCATGGGTGAAACAACAGTACCAAGTTCTCCGCAAAGCTTAATTGTGCTCCTTAATTTTTTTCAAATTCTCTTATTGTTGAATTGTTGACCCCACCATTTGTATACTAGAAAAATAAGTACAAAAAAAGCTAGGTTATCCACATACGCCCATGCCGTTACCTCATTCCCATAAGCAATGAAACTGCAGACGTAACCACATTGAAAAACACTCAAGTACAGTGGATCCAAGTAAATAGCAAAAAGCATTGGCGACAATAGACAGCCTTGTTTCACAGACGAGTGAGGAAACACGAGCGATGAAAGATAGCCATTACAATTAAATGGGTTGAACAGTCATTGTAGCATGGTTTCACACCTTTAAATATAATGGAGCCAACGTAGGCATGTTCTAGAAAACAAAACAGAAAAGAATGGCGAACCCGATCAAAGGCTTTCGCTAAGTCTTCTTGCAGTATTGCTAGTTCTTGAAATGAGTGTGAACAATGCTCCCATACTGCACGAGTAATCTGTATGTTAGTCTGTATAGAACGACCTTTTAGACTGCAGGTCTGATGGGCACCTATAAGTATCGACATTGAATGTTGAAGTATCGACATTGAATGGGCATCCCAATTATCGACATTGCAAATTTAAGTCTGATTAAAAGTACCTTGGCTGTAATGTTGTAATCAACGTTGCACAATGTAATTTGTCTGTAGCCATCGACGTGACGAAGTTTTTCTCTATCTGAGCATTTTGAAATCAGAACAGTGCGGCTTTTAGTAAAAGAGCGAGGAAGCGTCTCCAGATTCAATCTCAGCGTGAAAATGTCGAGCAGTAGAGGTCACAGTATGACTTTAAAGGCTTTGTAAAACTGGCCGGATACTCCATCAGGTCCTGGCGTTTTTGACAATGGTAAGGGTTCGAAGGCAAGTTCTATTTCTGTTATAGTGAATGGTCC